CAGGGTGGAGGAGGTGGGGAGAACCAATGAGATGGCATGTGAGGGGCTTGGAACTGTACCTGGCTCAGTAAATGTTAGAGGCCAGAACCTCAGTAAACGTTGGAGGCCAGAACCCCAAGGGGATGGCATTGAAGGGAGGGGTAGGTCCCTTGCTGATATTACTCACTAAGTTACCTCCCAATTCTACCCTGGACCAAACCTGTGCCTCAAGTAGCCAGGATGTGGGGAATGGAGAGAAGGTGTGAGCAGAGGCCTGGACCAGGAATCAGATGTTGATCCTAACTATGCAGTTCTCTGTCCTTTCCCTGTGCAACTTGAGGCAAGTCAGCGAACTTCTCTGGGTGCAGTCTTCTCATCTGTAAACAGACGGTTTGAGCAGACCTGTCTGCTCTCAGCAATGTAGAATGCTGTGACTCAGGGACTGGCACTTGGCTTTGTATTGTCTCCAAATGGAACTCTCCACCCACCTTTCCTTGAAGTTAGCAATAATTTCCATAGGGAGCACTCATGATGTGCCAGGAGCGGTTTCATCTCCCAACAGCATTGTGAGAAAGGCCCTGTGACCGTCCTCGACTGACAGATGGAGAGACCAAGGCACACACGGCTGGCTGGCAGGCTGCCCCTCAACACCCCCAGGCCAGCCCAGGAGGGCCTGTGTCCCACCGGGTGCAACCAGATGGAAATCAGGTCCACTGTGAAAGCTCTGCCTCCCTCACCAGGAAGCAAACCCTGCGGGCAGAGACCTGGCCTAAACCTTGAATTCTTTGGGCTGGGAGGGATTTCAGGCACCAGCTTGATTCCTCCTGTTGCACACGCACCCGCGTGTGCACACACACACACACACAAACACGGGAAATGGACGCCCAGTGAGGCAAGAGGCTCTCTAGTCTCTCTGAGCTGTCTATGCTGATCTCATTCTCAAAAAATGGCTGTGAAGTAAATCTCTAGACCCCAAGCTCTCCCCTACACCCCCTCCTCTCTCTCTCTCTCTCTCTCTCTCTCTCTCTCTCACACACACACACACACACACACATACACACACACATACACACACACCCGTCAGGGACAAAGGAAAGCGAGTACTGAGATCCAGCAGCCGCTAGAGCCCCTTCTCCTTCTCAGGGCCTCTTTGTGTGGGGCCAGAGGGGGAGGGGGCTGCCTGAATGAACCTCGGATTTAATGAGGGAAAGAGGGAAGGAGAGGGGGCTGGGGAAAGGGAAGGGAGAACGAGCCTCCCAGCCGGGGTCTGGCTGGACCCCCTCCCTTCTGCGGCTGCAGCCACAGAACAGAGGCTGGCTGCCCCCCTGGGTCCCGAACTCGTGACCGGTCACTCCCCGCGCACACCCGCACCTCCCTCGATTCCGTTCTCCCAACCCAGAGAGAGAGGTCGCCCGGTGGTCCGTGACGACCCGCAGCCGCCTCACTCGCGGGAGGCTAAGAAAGTCCGGGGCTCCCTCCCCTCCCACCCTGGGCGAGCTGGGGAAGTGGCTCAGAGGCAGCGCGAGCCAGACTGAGAACGGCCGACCGGGCCGCAGAGAGACTGACGGACGGACAGCCGGCTGGAAGACAGCAGACGAACAAAGACAGTCGGACGAACGACGGACGGAGACACGCACCAGACAAATACGAACTGACAGGCCGGGCCCGAGCGACAAAAACAGACAGACTGACGGGCAGGCGGCCAGAGGGGCCGGACGGGGCACTCGCCAGGAGCGACCGGCGCGGCCGACCACGCGCGGCACCAGGGCGTCTGGGACGGGGACAGAGGCCACCCCGAACACCGCCCCAGGTGGGCGACGAGGGCCCGCACAGCTGCCCCGACCCCGGGCTCCAAGCTCAGTCTCCCCAGGTCCCGAAGGGCGCCTGCCGAGGGCACTCCCCTCCTGCCCTCGCGCCCCGCCCTCCCCCACGGAAACCCGAGCCGGGACCGCAGCTGCCCGGGACCCGCCAGCCGGGGAGGGGCAGGGGGACGGGGGCAGCGAGATCAAGGTGCCGAGAGAGGGACCGGAGGGCGAGCAGGAGGGGCGCCGGACCAGAAAGACAAGTTCGCAGAAAGGAAAAAGAAACTACTCGGAGCAGAAGAAAAGAACGTGTGGGCCCGCAGCAGGAACCGGCGGCTCGCGCGGGCCGGCGCTGCGGTCGGGACTCACGCAGCTGAGCAGGGAGCAGGCTCCCAGGCAGGCCCCCATGGCGGCGGCTTCGGGCGCCCGGCGTGGGGAGCGGGGCGCGGACCTCTGGATCCCGGTGCGGGGCCTGGCCCCACCCCCGCCCCGCCCCTGCCCCGCCCCACCTGCCGAAGCTACTCGACACTTTCCGGAGGCGTTCGGGGCCTCCCCGGACTCACCTGAGGCAGGTGCGTGGGGCGGAACCCTAGGGGAAAAGGGCGGTCAGAAATTCCCGCGGCCACGCGAGCCGCGCAACCCGACCCAACCCTGGCCCGGGCTCACATCCTGCTCCAAAGCGAGCGTTCGGAAATCGACCTCGGTTTGAGCCCGTGCGACCTCAGGACACTGTCACCCTTGAGGACAGAAGCCAAGAGGTGGTCACCGCTAACTCCTCAGTGCTTGGCGCAGAGCCTCTGCTCAATATGTAGGTGCTGAAGTTGAATGCTGAATGATTGGATAAAGAAACTTCAGCAAGTCCCTGCACCTCTCTGAGCCTCAGTTTCCCGGTCTGTAAAGTAGGATACATACCTCATAGGGTGGTTACCACACATGGTAGATACTTGACAATTGTAAGCTCCTATCGTTCACTGTTTTCCTCTTCTTTTTTAAGAGACAGAGTCTTGCTCTGTCACCCTGCCTAAAGTGCAGTGGTGCAATCATAGCTCACTGCAGCCTTGACCTTCTGGGCTCAAGTGATCCTCCTGCTTCAGGCTCCTGAGTAGCTGGGACTACAGGTGCATGCCACCATGCCCACCTACTGCTTCTTCTAATACCCCAGCCTTTCACTCTAAACGCATCCTCCCTTCTCTCCATCTATTCTTCAAACTCCACTGACTCCCAGCAACCTTCTGGGAGCCACACACTCCCCACAGCCACCCTGCTTGGTGGCTTATCACTCCCTAAGGATGCCCCAAACTCTGATTCCTCGTTAAGGAGGTCAGAAGGCAGGGAGGGGTGGCCACATTCCTGGCAGATGGCTCTCTAGGGGTAGGTGTGAGAGACCCAGAAGCAGGGCTCTGTAATTACTCTCCCTTCAGCCCTGTCCTCAGCCACCTCTGGACAAGATAATGTTAGGGAAAGAAGGCTCTATGCCTCAAAGCTGGCCCCAGGGCCAAAGAGCTGGGTTCACTGCATTCTTGGGTGATTCACTGGGCGCCAGGCTTAGCCATTAATCGCAGGAGGACTGTTCCACAAACACACCCTACACTTTCCCTCCTCCGCACTTTTGCCCACACAATGCCCCCTCTTTTTTATTTTATTTATTTCTTTTTTGAGACAGGGTCTCACTGTCACCCAAGCTGGAACACAGTGGCCCAATCATGGCTCACTGCAGCTTCAACCTCCTGGACCTCAGGTGATCCTCCCCCCTCAGCCTCTCAAGTAGGTGGGACCACCAGTGCGTACTACTATGACTGGCTAATTTTTTAAAAATTTTTTTGTAGAGATGCGGACTCCTTATGTTGCCCAGGCTGTTCTCAAACTCCTGGGCTTAAGCAATCCTCCTGCCTTGGCCTCCCAAAGTACTGGGATTCCAGATGTGAGGCACTGCACCTGGGAGATGCCCTCCTCTTGAAGGCCCTTTTCCTTATCCCTCTTTCTCCCCTTTGAAGCTTGCTCACATGCCATACCTCTCAGTGAAGAGAGCCATGACCAACACCCCCAACCTACTACCTGCCTCCATTAGAAATAAATATCCTCATGATTCCCCCAAGCTTCCAAACAACATGGGCCTCCCTTATGGCCTCACAGACAAACCGAGCACATGCCCAACTTTCTCTCATGGTACCATTTCAGCCCCACAACAGCCCTGAGAAGTTGATTAATTCCACACTCACTCCAGTTTACAGATGAGGAAACCGAGGCACAAAGAAGTAGTGACACGCTAAACGTAAACCATGTATTGAATAAACATTGACTATGATCACTGTGGTTGTTGTTACTGTTGCTTGAGGCTACACAGCTCAGAAGAAGCAGAGCTGGAGGGCCACCCAGCCTGGCTTTCACCCTGATGTCCTACTGCTTCCCTTGGAAAAGTGCAGGTGACAATATCTAGTCTTCCTATTCTTCTTTCAGTCCTTGCCTATCCCGAGGCCCTTAGGAGACTGTGACCCACCCAAGAACGGTCTATTCTCTGGCCACCCTCTCTCCTGCCTGGAGCACAATACAGGGCCTGGCACAGTCAGGCAGTGAATGCTTGCTGGATGAATGTCTGAACTTTTACCATAAGTCCACTTTCCTCCTTTTGCTGTGACTGACATTCTGATCCAAAAGCAGCCCCTACATAGTCATCTTCTGCACAGAAAACCTTTACACCAAAATACCACCAAGCAGTCTGAAGTGAGCCCTCGTCATATGCTCCCATTCCAGGGCCAGCTCCCTTGGGCACTTCTGCTCCAAGAGCTGAATTTTTCATTCCACATTCCCTCCCTAACCTCCTGGAACAGGAGAAAGCACCCAAGACCAAGAGGAGTGACCCCTGGGATTCCTGTTCTGCCACGGAACATGCCCTATGCCCCATGCCCTATGCCAACCCTGGGGGGGCCACTTCACCCCACAAAGGGCATCTGTCCATCCCCTTCCCTGAAATAGGGCGGGCTATTCTGTTCAATCTCACAGAGCCAGCATGAGCATCTGAGAAAGTATTCTAAGAAATAAGCAGTTGTCTGCAAGGAATGAGGGATTAAGCTGACTGCATGTGTAAAGGGACAGCCACTCTGGCTTCATGCTAACATTTTTCAGAGCAAGGTAGTGTACTGCCACTGTCCTGGCCTCCTGCCTGCCCAAGACCAAGGCCAGCTGGGCTTTCACATTCCGGGCATGGAGGGCATAACTCACTGTGTGGCTGGATCCTGGTGACTCCTCCTCTCTCAGCCTCATGCTTCTCATCTGTAAAATAAAGATGAGATATTTTGCCCCAGATATCTCAGGGGACTACTGAGGAGATGAAATGAGGACATAGATAAAGAGTTTCATTTCTTGGTACTCTGGCCAGCCCATCAGGCTTTACTCCCAGCCTTGAATCTCCTGCATGGGGCCAGAATAGCTCTGTCTCTAGCACCCCCAAAAGCAAGGTAAAAGTCAGCAACTATGTGATACTGGCAAGTCACCCAACCACTGTAAGCCTCACTGGAGGGTTGGAATTAGGATTCTGCTCCTCCACCCAATGCCATGTAAACCATGTACCTTGAAAGAAACATGTAGGGGTCATTTGGTCCATTGCCCTTTGTCCATCACCCAGCCCAGACAGATGCTCAACTCTTTAGTTCCCAAAGAAAGCAGGCTCTAACTTCTTGGACCACCCACCCCAACGTTCTCTAATCTGATCTCACTGGGCCTGAGTTTTCAAATCTGCAACATAGGGACAAACCCCTGCCCTAGTCCCAGTGCCCCCGGTCCATTCTCACCCCATCCCTTCTTACCATCCTCCCATCCATGAGGACTCAGATGTGTGCTGGCTTTGAGTCTCCTATCCCTTGGGCTTTGCTGCCTGCACTGGCCTCTATTTCCTGCTTCTGACCCATTTACAGAGCAGGGCTGAGGCCATCCCTTATGAATATGCATGTAGGATAATAAGAGCTTGGGATTGGAGGAGCATCTGGGGAGAGGTATTCCCATAAGCACCATCCACTCTGCTCTCCCCATAAACCATAAACCCCCCAGCCAAGGCTGTCCTTCCCCGCAAAGAGTGCATGGGATTTTGGAGCAAAGGCTAAAGTAACGATAATCGTATTCACAGCAAGAATTTTTAAGAGCTTACAACATGCCAGGCATTCTGCTGAGATTATCTCCTTTAAGATGCATTTAAGGTAGGAACTATTGGCCCATTTAGAAGATAAGGAAATTGATGTTCCAAGAGATTAGGTAACTTGTACATAAATCATATGGGGAACATGCAAAGTGATCATGTGCAGAGCCAGAATGGAACCCAGCTTTCCTCAGAAGAACAGAATTCCAAAGCTATTCTCTAAACCCCTGCTGCCCAGATGTTCAGGGCCAAGCCAGGAGCCCTTGATGGTCATGGAGCCACATCTGGATCTCACGTGCCAGCAGGTGAGCCCACAGTGATCTTAGGTGATTTTGTGAAAGGACCCAGGTCCTGGCAGGGACTCTATCTGGAAAGTATGAAGACAGACAGACACAATGCGTGTTCACACTTGTGCAGGCACACAGTGAGGCAAGCTTAGCATGCGCAAACACAGGGTGTTCTGCGTGCATGGATGTAACTGTGTGGGGTAGGGGTACTCTTGTGGCTGCCCAGTTTATATGCCTCTATGCTGCTCTGGTGACTTTTTTCCAATCAATACTTAGAGAGGGCCACATTGGGCGAGGGGCTGGGAATGCAGTGTGAACAGGGCAGACACAATCCCAGCCTGTGTGGAGTAGATGGTCTGCGGGCTTTCCTTCCCATATGCAGTAACACTCTGGAAGGAATCTGTTTCCTTTGTGGGAAGCAACCAGGGGTTGAGAGAGAAGATGGATAAGAGTGAGAAAGGTAGGACAGCTGAGGTGGATTGCCCAAGGGAGCCTCTGGAACTTGCCAGAAATGTGGTGGAGGAGAGAGCCAGGACCTGGCACCGACTCCATGAGAGCCACAGATCTGAGGGTTCCCAAAGGTCTCCAGATGCTTTCCTTACAAATGTCCAGGGTCTTGAATGCACATGTGGGCAGTGTGTGATGGTGGTGGTGGTGGCGGGGGGGGGGCGCTGTTTAGGTACATGTGCACAGATGAGCGTGTGTGGTTATGTGGATATGTGCATGGAGTATTCATGTATAAATGTGGGAACATGGGTAAGTCATATGTGGTATGTACACATATGGGATTTACATGTAGAGGTAGGGGTGTGCCTGTGTGTGCAGCGGGGCCTGTTACTGCAAAGGAGAGAAGAGAGTGTCATTTAACCCAGGCCTCACATTCAGAAGCCTCAAAAATGCATCCAAAAATGAGATGGAATGAAAGAAGGGAGAGAGGGATGGATGGCTAGGTAGATGGATAGACAGAGGGCTGGCTGTGTGGAGAGATGAATAGAGTTGAACAGAGGGATGGATATGTGATAAGGCAGATACTGCAAAATGCTCATTGTAGCCCCTAGGTGCTGAGTATACAGGTGCTCACTGTGCCATTCTTTCAACCCCTCCAGATGCTTGACACTTTTCATAATACAATATGCACACAAAGTGGGCTAGATGTCTAGCCCCAGAGAATCATGGATGAGATGGAAAGAATAGAATGCTCTTCATGCCATTTGAAACTTACATCCCATCACTGGACCACACAGCAATGTGAAATCACATTTTTTACAATTTTTGTGATGATCTTGTGAGTCTCTCAATTACATTGCATTGGATGTGTGTGGGTGTATGTGTGTATTTTAAAAAAAAAAAAAACATTAATTTGGCCAGGTGCGGTGGCTCACGCTTGTAATCCCAGCACTTTGGGAGGCCAAGGTGGGTGAATCACGAGGTCAGGAGTTCAAGACCAGCTTGGCCAACACAGTGAAACTCCGTCTCTACTAAAAACACAAAAATTAGCTGGGCGTAATGACAGGCGCCTGTAATCCCAGCTACTCAGGAAGCTGAGGTAGGGGAATCGCTTGAACCCGAGAGGGAGAGGTTGCAGTGAGCCGAGATCACACCACTGCACTCCAGCCTAGGCAACAGAGCTAGACTCCATCCCAAATAATAATAATTATTATTATTATTAATTTGTTAGATAAAAACATACCACAGTTGTGAACACCCTATTTAGGTGTTCTTCATTTTTAAATTACCAGGAGCCTTAAAAGACAGAAGTGGCCTGGCTCGGCCGGGTACAGTGGCTCATGCCTGTAATCCCAACATTTTGGGAGGCCAAGGCAGGCAGATCACCTGAGGTTGGGGGTTCAATTCTAGCCTGACCAACATGGAGAAACCCTGTCTCTACTAAAAAATACAAAATTAGCCAGGTGTGGTGGTGCATGCCTGTAATCTTAGCCACTTGGAAAGCTGAGGCAGGGGAATCGCTTGAACCTGGGGGCGAAGGTTGCAGTGAGCCAAGATCACACCATTGCACTCCAGCCTGGGCAACAAAAGCAAAACTCCATCTCAAAAAAAAAAAAAAAGAAGTGGCCTGGCTCTCTCCATCTGTGAGCTCCTGCTTTGGGTGTGTGTATGGGTTTGCATGTATGTGTACCTGTCAGGGATGTGAGCACACATAGGTGGGTTAGGCTGATACCCATGTGAGTGCCCACACAAAGAGCTCAGCCTCCTCCAAGACCCGTTGGGGCCAGCACCACTCTGAGGTGAGACAGACATCTTAGGACTGAGGAAGGGCAGCCACTAGCCCCAGGGCAGCATAGGGGACTAGGAACTCTGTCATCTGAGGCTTGGATACGCTCAGGCCAAGCAGCGTCCTCTGGCCAGCAGCGAGGTGTGGGAGGCTATTTCCTGGAGGAGGATGGGGCAAAGGCTCTCCAGAGCCCTCCTGGGCCCAGTGGCTCCTTTCTTCCTCCCCATACATTTATATCTCCCATCAGGACCAATCATCCTCCCCTGCTCAGTGCCTTTGGGCCCAAGCTGTCAATACCCCATCATTGGACAGATGGAGAAATGGAGCTCTAGAGAGAATGGAGTCACGCAGGCCATACAACAAGTCAGCTCGGAGCCAGTCTGAGATCCAGCCTAGGTTCTGCTCTCTGGCCCTACTGCCTGCCATCTCTGCATCTCCCTCCCTCAGTCATTTGTCCACCAGCCAAGGTCTGCAGGGGTCCTACAGAATGGGCTCCAGGCCCAGTAGACCCAGCAGGGAAGGCCCCAGAGTGCTCTCCTGACTGGGCAGGTCACATATAAAATCCAGTAAGACAGGTAGGCACCAGAAACAGCAGATGGCTGAGAGGCAGGGCCTGGCTCAGCCACTGACCCTGTTAGAGTGACCCTGGACAGCTGCCTGCCCCTCTCTGGGCCTCAGTTTCTCCATCTGTAAAATAAATGGGTTGAGTCCAGGAGCAGTGGCTCACACCTGAAATCCTAGTACTTTGGGAGTCCTAAGCAGATGGATCACTTGAGCTCAGGAGTTTGAGACCAGCCTGGGCGAGACCCCATCTCTACTAAAAACACAAAAAAATATCCAGGCATGGTGGTGCTCACCTGTGGTCTCACCTACTTGGTAGGCTGAGGTGGGAGGATCCCTTGAGCCTGGGGGTAGTGGTTGCAATAAGCCAAGATCGCACCACTGCACTCCAGCCTGGGCAACAGAGTGAGACCCTATCTAAAAAAAAATAATAATAATAGATAAATAAATTAAAATAAATGGTTGAACTATTAACAGTGGCTTTCAATAATGCTTTGAAGCAGAATCCCTAAGCAGCTATAAGAGGAGCTCCTCTGTCCCATGTAGGGAAGGCAGGGATCTTGGCCCCTTCTTACCCACTCTCCACTAAGAAGCTGGCCAAAGAATGTCTCACCGCACAGAAGCAGTGGATAAGAAACCAGCCTCCAGCACATAACTGGGGCCCGATTCCAGTTGGGCCATTTACCAACTGCACAGACTCAGGAAAGGCTCTCCAAATCTCGGCTTGCTCATCTGTAAAATCAGGGCAATGATACCAACCTCCTACAGCTGTATGACAATTGACTGAGATAATTCATGTCCAGTGTTTGGTATGTGGTGAACATATTAAAACTTGAAGCAACAGTGGCTGTTACTACTAGTTAGCCCTCAGATGAGAACCGGCATAAACTCGCTGGCTTCACCATGAGTTATATCTCTTGTGCCAGACCCCAAAGCCAATGCATTTTGGCAGCTGCTATCCCAAATTCCTCAGCCTCGCCTACCTCTGCAGCTGCTCCAGAACAGCTGGGCATACAGGGGCTACAGCACGGCCAGGCCGGGGCCCCAAGGAGGGCAAGCACAGGGCTCCCTGTAATCAGCCCAGGCCTCAGAGCAAGATCCATTTCATCTGGACAGCCAAGCCCCTGCAGGCCATCATTACCTCCCCCACCCTTGCTCAGCACCCAAACCTGACCCAGCTGCTGAAGCCTCGGAGAGAAGGAAGCAGGTGTTTAGCCAAAGCCTTTCATTCCCAGGATCCCTCCCCAGGGTCTCCTAGACCCACTGGGCTCAGGGAATGTTCTAGTGACATAAGCAGGAAAGAAAGTCTGTCTGAAGCCAGGCAACAGTCTGCCCTGAGGAACAACAGAGACCTGGCATTTAGACTTCTACAACCCAAAAGTTGAAGGAAGCTCTAAAGCCATCTCATGTATATACATGAAATACAATATCATTCAATCTTAAAAGACAGGAAATTCTGATACATGCTATGACATGACTGAACTTTGAGAATGTTATGCTAAGTAAATAAGCCAGAAACAAAAGGACAAAAACTGTATGATTTCACTTATACAAGGTACCCAGAGTAGTCTAATTTGTAGAGCTAGAAAGCACAATGATAGTTTCTAGGGGGTGGGAAGAGAGCAGAATCGGGAGTTATTAAAAACACAAGGCGGGCTGTGCATAGTGTGTAATCCCAGCTACTTGGGAGGCTGAGGCAGGAGAATTGCTTGAGCCTGGGAGGCAGAGGTTGCAGTGAGCCGAGATCTCACCATTGCATTTCAGCCTGGGCAACAAGAGTAAAACTCTGTCTCAAAAAAAAAAAAAAAAAACCTATAAGATGAAAGACAAGTCTTGGCTGGGTGCAGTGGCTCATGCCTGTAACTCCAGCACTTTGGGAGGCCAAG